TAAATAATAGGATTATTTGTAGTGTCATATGAGGGAATGAGCTTGATTAAGTGCAAATTATAAAAGTAGGGAAGTGCAGAGGAGATTACAGCCTGAATTTCTAAAGGAGTGTCTGGGGGCAGCAGTTCAGGTAGCACAAAAGAAAATTACGTATTACAGGAAACATTAATTGACTTTCCCTTTCAGTGCATAATCCCTACATTAAACTTTAGATTGTTATTAGAAGCAAATGATAAAATATTGGTAACTCCCCCCAGTTAGAAGCATCAATTAGAAGAAGCTGAATGTGGCGATAGGTTTTGAGCATCCTTGACCTTGAAAATTTTAATGAGCTTAAGAACTTTTGCTTTAAGTGAAGATTATTAGGAACATTGTGACCTCTGGGGAAACCTAAACTGCACAGAAGTGTCTTGGCATAACCTCTGTGCTTAAATTAGAACAGGCCAAACCCACACGGAGGGGAAAGGCCACTAAAACAAGGGTTCTTTGGAGTTTTTCTAAAGGAGTGTAGAGTTTACAAACAGTTCAGAACTCAATACAACAACAGCATCAGCCCCTTTATGCTCAACTCTAATCCATCAAAATGTACATTCACTTCTCCACAACAAAATAGAAAAGAAAACCAGAGCAAAAATCCTGAGTTGGGTGAAAAGCCAGGGCAAACAGCCCCTGATGCCTGATGCCAAGAGATGTGTCCAGGGAAAAGGTCACAGCACCTCTGGGGCTGGAGCTGCGACCGTGTGAGGAGTAGCTGAGCCTCGGCATCCTCCACCCACCCACACTGCCCTCAGGCACCAGAAGGCTCTTGTGCAAATTTCCAGGCTGGCCAACAATTTCCAGAGACGCCAGGGGGGAAACTGAAAACTGAAAATCTTTCCCCACTTAAAAAAAATAAATTTTGATTCTTCCTTTTTAAGATAAGGATCTTTCAAAGATAAGTATGTTCTTGTACATACGACAAGAACAGATGCTGGATCTTAGGTTTGCAGATTTTTTTGAGAGTTGAGTCAGCCACAGGCTTTGGATCGTGCAGCTGCCAAGGTGAGCCTCAAACAGCCTCCAAAGTCACATCACTGACTCCTCGGGGAGCTCACGCAGCTGAGGCACGTAAGAATGAATCGTAGAACCCCAGAATGGTTTGGGCTGGCAGAGACCTTCAGGCTTGTCTCGTTTTACCTCGTTTTACCTCCCTGCCTCGGCCAAGGGTGCCTGAACAGGCGGCATTGGCTTTTGTTAAAGCTTCTCCCTAATTCATCAAAAGGCACTAAAAAAATGCTGCCAGTGGTTGGGAAAACATTGCTAAAAAGAAATATTTTCTCAGTTTAGGTAGAATTTCTCCTGTTCAATCCTTTCACAGCTAACAGAAAAGTGTCGCGTCTATTATTCTTTCCACTGTTAAAAGGAAAAGTTGTTCCTAGATTGATCTGTTCAATGAGCAAAAAGACAGAGTAAAACAACTGAAATTTTAACCATGATATGTGAAATTGAGACAATAAAAATAAATGTTAATAGGGAACTGACTGAATGGTTTTACTCACGGTGTACAAACTTTGTGGAATTTCCATCTTTTCTAATTGCTTTGTTATTTATAAATATAGTAATTCAAAATGCATTTACTGGCAACCACTTTTCAGATAATGGAAAAAATATTAAATTAAAAAAAAAAACAAAAAACAAAAAGGTAAAAAGCTGGGTTAATTTGGTCTTTTACTTGGTTGGAGGACAGAACATGAGGTTTCTCCCACAAACAGGCTTTAACCAACACCGGACACTTCCAGGACGCTTGGGGTCTGACAAGGATGAAAGCACAACAGCAAAAGGCATTTTTACACTGTCATGGTGCTTTAAGCTCCTTCCTGCGACTCACTGGTGTCTGATTTACAGAAAAAAGCCAAAGCAAGTCACGGACTCGCTGCGTCCGCCCCGAGCGCCGAGCGCCGAGCCGCCCGGTGCCGCGGCCGCGCAGCCCGGCCCGGCGCTCTGCCCGGGCCCCGAGGCGCATCACCTGAGGTAGAGCGGCAGGGAGGCAGCCCCGGCCGCGGAGAGACGGCAGCGAGCGGCCTCGGGCCCGTTCCGCGGCAGCCGTCAGGCTTTGGGCTCCTGGGGCGCGCAGAGCTGCGCGATCGTCTTCTTGACGCGCAGCGCCGTGAGACGCGCGGCGCCGCTGGCGCGCCAGCACTCCCGCATCAGCCGGCCCAGCACCCGCAGCGCCTGGCACGGAGGGGACGCTGCCAGGGCGGGCAGGGCACGGACAGGGCACTGCCGGGGAGGGCAGGGCACGGACAGGGCACAGGGCACTGCCAGGGAGGGGCAGGGCACGGACAGGGCACTGCCGGGGGTGGGACAGGGCACGGACAGGGTGGGACAGGGCACGGACAGGGCACAGGGCACTGCCAGGGCGGGACAGGACACAGACAGGGCACTGCCGGGGTGGGACAGGGCAGGGACAGGGTGGGACAGAGCAGGGACAGGGCACAGGGCACTGCCAGGGCGGGACAGGGCACGGACAGGGCACTGCCGGGGTGGGACAGGGCATGGACAGGGCACAGAACACTGCCAGGGCTGGGACAGAGCGGGGACACGGCACAGGGCACTGCCAGGGGCGGGACAGGGCAGGGACTGGGGTGGGACAGAGCAGGGACAGGGCACAGGACACTGCCGGGGGTGAGACAGAGCGGGGACAGGGGTGGGACAGGGCACGGACAGGGGTGGGACAGAGCGGGGACAGGGCACTGGCAGGGGTGGCACAGGACACTGCCAGGGGTGGGACAGAGAGGGCACAGGACACTGCCAGGGGCTGGGGACAGAGAGAGGACCAGGTACACACAGGGTGTGGGGACAGAGAGAGGACAGGGTACAGATGGGAGCTGGGGGATAGAAACAGCACCGGGTACACACAGGGTGTGGGTACAGAAACAGGAGTGGGTACAGAGAGGAGCTGGGGACAGAAACAGCACCTGGGGTACGAACAGGTCTGCAGGGGGACAGACAACAGCCAGAGATATAACCACCACCCCCTGTTTTCCAGATTTAGTACAGGGAGATAAAGTGCAGCGCTCTGAAACGGTGACACAAGAGCAGCAGCAGCAATTAAGCCCTGCCTTGGACAGCATTGAGCACTTGGTGCAAAGAGTTTTCTCTGTATTGATCTGAAGGAGAGCTAAACATCTGAAGCTTCTAAATTCAGGAGAAGCTGGGCATTGACTACCCTATTTCTCGCTGAAAAGTTCTGTCTAAAATTAAACTTGAAAATATAAACAACAAAATAAAACTGTAAAAAAAAACCCTACAAAATAAACCTGGAACAAGCTAGGAAATTGCTTTTACCTCACAGCTTTGCCACTGGTTTGGAATACTTGGTCTGAGCTTCTGTTCACAGACAACCCTTCTCATATCTTCTATGGAAGGATCAGAAGGCACAAGGTCATAGTAAGGCAACTGGTATTCCTCAGTGATTCCTGGGGAAGATTTGTGTTGTAGGTGCTCATGGCAGGGGTGGAATGAGAAGAGCTTTACTGTCCCTTCCAGCCCAAACCTGTCTGGGACTGGATGAGAAGGTCAAAGCCTCACCTCCAACAGAGCACCTCCGGGCTATCTCCCAGTACACCAGCCCCAGGGAGTAGATGTCTGCACGCTTGAAGGACTCAAAGATGCTGGTGTTCATCGCATCGTCCAGGATCTCGGGGGCCATGTACCTTTGGGGCACACAGAGTCACTTTGCTGGGCAACTCCTACAAAAGGCCACGGCTGTGCTGCCACATGCCGGGGCCCTGTGACCCCTCGTGGCGCTGGCAGCTGCGCCCTGCCCAGCCCAGAGCACCGGGGCTGGCTGGCACGCCGTGCCCCACGTGGGGCAGAGAGCTCCACTCCACAGCAGGGTCTGCAGCTCCTCCCTCGCCCACCCACCCGGCCAGCACCCTCCCCGCGGGGCTGCGGCCAGCCCTGCCCCGTGCCAGGGCAGCGGGGACGTGGCTGCTGGAGGGCAGGGCTGGAGGGGCCGTCACGGAGCCAGGCTGCCCGCCCGCCCCACCTCCTGGTGCCCACGCGGGGGTTCTGGGGGATGTCGATGGTGTTCAGCACCGAGTCGTGCTTCACCGCCAGCCCCAGGTCGGCGATGGCGCAGGTCTCGTTCCTCTTCACCAGGATGTTCTTGGATTTCAGATCCCGGTGTGCGATCGCCGGCTTCCCTGTTCACAGCAAGAGAAACCGCCTTCAAGTTTGATAACAACGAGTGGATTTTAATGCAAGGAGCAAGGATGTAAAAACAGTTTGATTCACTTTTGTTATTGTACCCTATTGAAGTATTGAGGCCTATTTTGAGCCAAGCAAAGCTCTGCTAAATGTTCTCAACTTCAAAAGAAAATTTTAAGGGCATTTTTTTCAATATCTATATTTCAGGAATAAAACGCATAGAGAGAAACAGGAAGCTCACTGTCCAAATTTGTTTAGAAAATTAGACTCACTGGATGTATTGAGTTGGAAAATCCCTCTAAGACCACTGAGTCCCACCATTCCCCAGCACTGACAAGACCACCACTAACCCATTTCCCCAAGTGCCACATCCACACAACTTTTTAAGGGATGGTGACCCCACCACTGTCCGGGGCAACATCTGCCAGGGCTGGACAAATGAAGAATTTTTTCCTAATTTTTCCTTCATTAGTGCTCACTCCCCTTCAGCAGAGCTGCTTCTGTAGGCATCTCTTTAGAGGCACGGTTTAAGTACAGACAATGGGAGCAGGGAGGGAAGGTCCCTCTTCCCTGTCTGCCTGCACCACTGTCACTCACAGTCCCCCTGGTGCCAGCAGTTTGGAAAACGCTTCACAGTACCACGTCACCCACGAACGCTCTTGGGAACACTGAAGCTCCTTAAAACACCTGAAGGAAGAGCGGGAGGGAAGCACTTGCCTTGCGTGCCAACGATCTCCATGTGGAGGTGGGCCAGGCCGCTGGCCACCGACAGCGCCAGCCTGACCATGCCCTGCACCGTCACCGTGCCTCTGTTCAGGTAGTCGAACAGCGAGCCCTGCTCGTGGTACTCGGAGACGAGCCAGAGCTGAGTCCACGTCCCATTATCTGGCCAGAGGAAGCAGGATATGAACAACGCGAGCTGGGGAAAGTCTTTCCCTCGGTGGGGAACGCGAGCAGGGAAGTGTGCCAGCTGTGCCCAGGAAGGAGCTCAGGGCCGCGTTGCAGATGGATGGGGGCAGCGGACGCTGAGCTGGGACAGACATTCAGGACTCAGCCGGTGCCGTCGCTGGGGCTGGGAAGCGCTCCAAGACCACGGAGTCCAACCAGGGCCAGCCCTGCCAAGGCCACCGCAGAGAGGCAGAGGGCTGTGTGGGCCGGAAAAGCTCTCCAGGAGGCTGGAGGCTGCGCTCTCACCCTTGTTGTCGGCAGCGATGAAGCCCAGGATGTTCTCATGCCTCAGCATGACTGTCTGGTAAATCTCCGCCTCCCGGAACCAGGACCGCTCATCTCTGGAGGAGAAGATTTTCACAGCCACATCCTCCCCGCACCACTTCCCGTGCCAGACTTCGCCAAACCGTCCTTTGCCCACAATTTCCTGCAGGACAATTGTCCTGGCGATGGTTCTCTGCACCAGCAGAGGCAGCCCTGGTGAAAAGGAGAGACGGACACCGGAGAAATGGCTCAGCTGGGACCCTCAAACCCCAACGCTGGCCTTTCCCAGAGAGCTGCACTCATGGCTTTGCTTTCTGAGACTGCCGAGGGAAAAGACGCTCCCAACCAATAGCTCCTCAAATCCGAATTTTTGATATTACTTCCCAGTGTCTGTACATAGAAAAAATGTTTTAAACCCCAGTAAAAATCTTAAAATTCATCCTGAACTACTCTATTTGGTTTGATACAGACTGCAGCTGTCCTGCAGGCAACTAGTTGCTCAACTCCAGCTGAAATTTTTTAAAATAAAAATAAATTATTACTTATTAATAATAAATCATTAATATTAATTAATAGCAAGCACACTGTGCTTTGCCAACCACAAACCCTGCCTAGATTGATTTGATTCTGTGTTTGTAGAGGACTTAGAAGGAAAAAAACAAAAAGAAGAATTCCCTGGGGTTTTTTTCTTTGTTTGTTTATTTTTTAATAACTGCAACCTTGATTTTGGCTGAAGTCAGAACAAATCACGCCGGTGCATGGGGCTCTGGCTCTGCTCAAGTCCAGCCCTGTCCCTGGCTCAGGGATGGCTGTGAATAGTTAAAAACTTCAGCATAAATAAAGTCAAAGCCTGCTCATTAGAGCTGTAAAAAGGCATTAGGGAAGAACAGCAATTTAATCATCAGAGGTATGCAGCTCATGGAAATAACTGGCATTGTGCCAGTGTCAAACCATGACACAGCTGTACACTTTTTACTTACAAATAAAAGCAAGCATAGTTTACATACTTTGTTCTAGTTAGGGAAAGTTGGGCTATACATCCCAGACATGTCACTGGTCAAAGGAGCTGGAATTTGTGAATTCCCACCTCATTTTTAGGTTTCTTTGGTTAAACAAGCTCTCAATAGCAATGGAGGCATCACAGTAGGCAAGATATCAGAAATGGAAAAAATGTTAAAAAGAAGAATGTTCTGCTCAAAACAAGAATTTGGAGAAACATTATTGTGCTATGAAACACAAGAAATGTCAAAAGCAGCATCCTGAGGCACTTGGGTGAACTTAGCACCTGTCATTGTCTGCCGCGCTGGTTCTGCTTTCTGAGCGCGTTCCCTTTCGAACGCCTCCGTTCCCACAGAGAACCGAATGCTGGCGGTCTGGCAGAGCAGGAACGCCCAAAGCCCCGCAGGGAGCGTGCCCTGGCACAGCGGCACCAACCCACAGAGGGCAGGATGGGATGGGATGGGATGGGATGGGATGGGATGGGATGGGATGGGATGGGATGGGATGGGATGGGTAGGGCAGGGCAGGGCACCTACCCGAGCCGGAGCCGGAGGTCGTCATGTCGGAGATGAGATCCTTCAGCGTCTTGCCGGAGCCCAGCAGGCTGCCCTCGCAGAGCGGCTCCTCCACGTTGGGTGGCTTGGCCCCGCGGCGCCGCCGGCCCCGGGCCGTGGCCAGCAGCCCGGCCAGCAGCCCCAGGGCGCAGAGCGGCACCGCCACCGCCGCCGCCAGCGCCGCCGGCCGCCGGCCCGCCCGGCCCGCCCGGTCCGCCGATGCTGCTGGGGACAGGGACGGCCGTGACATGGGGACAGCGAGGGGACAGCAAGGGGACAGCGAGGGGACAGGGACAGTGCTGCAATTCCCACTGACACGGGAACCACGGTGCGCTCCTGCAATTCCCACTGACACAGGCTCCCCTGAACCTCCAGAGCAAAGGGCTCAGGGTAAGAATTCAGTCCTTTTTTTTGAGGACTGAAATATGAAACTAGATGTTTTGCAAGTCCCAGCTCAAGTGCCGGAACAGCAGATATGCCTCTGCAGCTCCTCCAGAAATAGCAGCTTTCTTCCCAACTTGGAAAAACCACCATGGCACTTTATTTCTAGAGCATGACTACAATTAGTGTGTCCCTTCTGTGGTCAGCTGAAAGAAAAACAATGTCCTGGAGTGACTTGGTGATGCTTCTATCGCCAGTTGTCTGTGGAGATACAAGCATCATGCAAATTATCCTTACCACTAATTAAATAATCCTGATTCCTGCCCCACGGCACAGGTGAGGCTGGAACCAGAGTTCACCAGGAGGTGACAGCGCCCAAGGCTCCCACAGCAGTTCCCCCACGGTCTGCCCAGCAACAGCCTTTCAAATTCCATTAAGAACTACACCTTAATTTGCATCTTAAATTCAAGTTACAATCTTAAATTGTGAATTAATTTGCAGCTTTCTTACCTGCAACATACCTCACTGTTGTAAGTATATAAAAATGCATTATCTAATAGAATAGTATATTCTATTAAATAAAAAAAGCCTAGAATAAACAAAAATCTTGGAAAGAAGAACAAAAAAAGATTAAACTAAAATTATGCTAAAAAAAGTAGAAATATTTATTTGCAGAAAGCACCTAATGAACTTCATTACAGAACTTCATGCCTGGCAGACTCACACACTGCAGCAGCTGGGTACCACACAGGGCTCCACTGGCACTATGAGTGCCAGCCTCTTTCCTCCCTCTCACTGGGACCAGGAATCTCACAGCTTCCCGTTCCTCGGTGACACCGGCGGGACAACTTGGACCAGCTGCCTCACAGGCTGCCCACCCAACCACGGCCCAGGGCTCCCACTGCTGAACCTGCCCCAGCCAGAGAGGTCCCTGGCAGTGCCCTGGAGCCACCCACCACTCCTGCCCTACGAGAACCCTGTGCCCGCAGGACAGCAAAGCCAGCCTTTGGGAGACCCTCAGTGCCCGCAGGACAGCAAAGCCAGCCTTTGGGAGAC